ATACAACTATGCATAAGATTTATAAAGCTCGATGTACATTATCACAAATCAAATTTCCTTTTTTTCAGCTCATTCCTCCTTACAGTTATCATTTTTCGAGAGGAACGACTGCATTCGTTTGTAATATAACAGTTTTGTAGAATTTTTACTCGTAGTAATCCTCTGATAATATTTTTCTCTTCTGAAGATTACTTGAGAATTGAGTCTTTAGCATGATGGAAAATGCCAGTACCAATTTATCACTAGGACAAGTCGTTGATAGGTGCTTCTCAAAAAAAGTACTTTAACTCGTAACGACAGCTAGGAGCTGTTCAGATAACCACATTTTTTCATCCAGTGATTGAAATTACAGTTCGTCGATGAGTGGAAAAAGAAGAGTGATGACTTGGCGGCGGAACTTGACAGCGCACAACGTGAGGCACGAAATCTGTCCACGGATTTATTCAAACTGAAGACCACACATGAGGAACTGAACGAAACTGTTGAAGGACTTCGACGTGAGAACAAGGCATTGAGTAATGAAATCAAGGATCTGACCGACCAACTTGGTGAAGGCGGACGCTCACAGCACGACATGCAGAAGGTTATTCGCCGGCTCGAAATAGAGAAAGAAGAGCTGCAGCACGCCCTTGATGAAGCTGAAGGTTACTGAATTATTTGTTAAAAGCCCTGAAATTTTCCCACTGCACCAAATCATTTGTCCCAGATGCTGCAATCTTGGGCCTGGATGTGGAAAGTCGCTTTATGCGTGACAAACATCCAATTTGAACTATGTGTCTTGGGTGTCTTATATGTCTTGAATATTTATTTTATGGAAAACAAGCTGTTTGCCTTCCTCACTGGTCTTTGCACGACCAGCTGTCACCACCTGGTTTGCAACTTTGTTTTCCTATGGTTTAAAAAATTCCGAATTTATTTCAGGCGCACTGGAAGCAGAGGAAAGCAAGGTCTTAAGAGCACAAGTGGAAGTGTCTCAGATACGTTCTGAGATTGAAAAACGTATACATGAGAAGGAAGATGATTTTGAAAACACCCGACGCAATCACCAGCGAGCACTGGAATCCATGCACGCCTCTCTGGAAGCAGAATCAAAGAGCAAGAATGAGCTGCTCCGAGTGAAGAAGAAGCTCGAATCGGACATAAATGAACTCGAAATTGCGTTGGATCATGCCAATAAAGCGAATGCCGATGCTCAGAAGAATTTGAAGCGCTGCAATGAACAAATCCGCGAAATACAGTTACAGGTTCGTCCTCTTAGCGTAAAAATTACTGCTAGTCAGTTTTTTTTTGCATACAATTTTCTGTTCGGTTTGCGGCCATACATATCTTACTGCATTTCTTGGTCAGTTCACCGCTTATCCCAAGTCGATTTTCCTACTTTTGTTTTCATTATTCGGGGCAAAAATGCTATTTCCGACATATAGCATTGTCTTTGCTGCTTTTGATTTTTCAGCTCGTTAACTAGCGAATCTCCTATGCTCCTTACTAATGGCATCATCTTCGACAGAAGTTAATCTCAAGGGCTTTGAAGGGAACAAAT